TCAATATCTATGAAAGTTTTTAATTGATTATGTTTCCCTTAAAAATAAGCATTAATTAAAATATTGACAATTATTATTATTTTATTCAATAAATTATAAGTTGAAATCTAATCAAATGAATTTCAAAATGAATTACTTTTATCTTTTTTCTTATAGTTAGAATAACGAATCGTTGGGAGCAGACAAAATTTTTCAAATCTATAGTTTAATACGAGTGATAAAAACATAATTTTTATAAATTTGATATGATATTTAATTTAAGTACATATATACCTAAAATTTTTTATTAAATTTTAGATAAAAAAATTATATACGTGCAACGCACGTGATGCATTGTTAGTCTATAAAAACACACCAATTGGATTACAGTCTTTCTTGGGAACAATAGAACATGAATGTCCATTCATCCTAAAACTTGAGAATTTGATTACTTTTGTGGCTGATTTTTTATATTTATGAATGTTTTTATCATTGTTATGAATATTTTATCACTATTGTGAAAACTATTTTTACCATTTTTTTTATACAAAAAAAATTATCATATTTATAATTATTTTTAGGACTGTTGTAATAACCGTTAAAAATAGTTATCATATGATAACAATGATTGGGGTAGACAAACTCCAAAACTTGAGCATCTTGCTGAAGATGCACAACATTTGTGACTTATAATTAACTATATATTCCTCTAGGGATTAATAAATGTAAACCATAGTCTGTTCATTGACTTTCTAATTCAAGGGGAACTTTTTTTTATATTACTTTGGGCATAATTAGGCAATAATTGAAACACCCTTGTGTTAATAATTTCTAATATGTTCCACCCTTTGAATCAGGACTATGACTTTAGTTCAAACCTAGGATGTCGATCAGGACCATTTATAAAACAGACATTCCTATAAGGTCCTACATACATGGTCATATAAACAATGTTTCGATTAAGAGTGAAATAGCATTCTCAAAGAAGTCAAGTGAGAACGTAGAGTGACGTCGGGTCTCAGGTTGGAGCATTCCTTTGAACCAATCAGTCGTTTTCGAGAACTTTATGAGGTACTCTTTTCATTTTAAATTCCTTTAACAATGAAATACTAAAATTATTACCAATAATCATTTATAAAGATAAGACACATTACAACGGTTCAAAACTAGTCCATGTAGGCAGGAGAGTGGAGTAAAACAATTCAGCATCACCATGAGAAACCAAACTAGGAGAGGAAGACTGACAGGATGGGCATCAAACTACTTAATTAGCAAAAGGATGATTTAAAAATGACTTCCTCCTCGACTCCACAGCCCCCACCGCCGCCACACCACAACCGTCACCACCTCCACTTCCACTTCCACAACCACAACCACCGCCTCCACATCCACCACCACTTCCACCACCAGAGGTACTTGCCACTGCAGATGCACCAGCTGTAGCCACTACAGTACCACCAGTTCCCCCCAAAATGACCATGTTGCCATCATTTGTGTTGCTGCTCTTTTCTTATACACCCATTTCCACATCAACATCAGAATGTGAAGCTGGAGGTGGACGCAGAGTTGGAGGTGGAGGTGGACATAGAGGTACCCTCCGCCTGAAAACAGGATTCTGGTAGAGGCACACGAAAATGACAGCAACCACACGTACAAAAAACATAACAAATGGGCACAATTGCATATCCTTTCATCTTTACTATGGAAACACCTCACAGGTCTTCTGTATCCAACACCTACGTGATATTCAAACAACATAAAAGACCACTTGCATATACTATATTCAAATAGAGCATCTTGCAGAAATATAAAATTTTGACTCTGTTCAAGAAGCATGAAAGAAGTTTCTGAAGTTGACTTTAGCTTCTCCTTGTTCACCATCACAAGAAGTAGTCAGACGAAAATTTAGTTCTTCTCAGTGCTACTGACACAGAGAAGTCTAGTTTCCTTCTTCCTGTGGCCAAATCTGCAGAGAGAAATTAAAAAGTAGTACTAGTTCGATTACGGAAAAACTCGACATATTATTGAGATAGTACATGCTTTCAACATCTTGAAGTAAAAAAGAAAGGCTAGCACCACTGCGAGGTTAGGGAAATTAGACATCCTCTGCTTTACCCCACGTGATAAGAGGCCACTTACTTGAGCACGTCAACACCCTGGTCACAATAAAGCAACCTTACCACTACAATATTTATACAGTTGTTCCTTTAAACTGAGAATAGTACTATATTATAACTTGGATACATAAGCAGGACTCTGGCAGAAATTATTGCAACAAATTTAAAACCCTCGTGTTTATTGTTGTGTAGGTCCTCTAGAATACCACGGAATATGTTTATGGGGAAACCAGAAGAGTTCTTTGAATCGCCATATGAGAAACTCATGGTTGCTGGATAATTTTAGCCATGGTACCATTTTTTGTTTACACATAATTTTAGCAAAATCAACTATCCAAAGAAAATAAAAATAAACAGGATGTAAGAAGAAAAGTAAATGAACCTCTGCAACTCATTGGCGCAAGAAAGCTGTACCACGGAAGTCCCAAGAGGAAAATGCAGTTGGACTCCTTGAACTCATCCTTTCATTTTAGTTCACCTATATAAATTGTACTGAGGAAAAAAAAAGGTGATTAGCAAAAACACATGTGAAGTTAGAAGTAATAAACCATGACATAAGATACTAACCAGACTCCAATTATTAATCAATTGCAAATACTTCAATATTAATATGTCTTCAAACAGAATCAATATGAATATAAGATTAATGGCCAACCTTCTTAAAACAAAGATGCTCAAACCTACAATGGAGTTGGACTTCAATTAATAGGCGTCCTTCTCCAAAGTGTTCTCTTACATAAGTGGAAGATAAAAAAAACCAAAAACAGTAAACATGGACCTTCAAAGAGGAAACACACCAAGGAACCTTTGAGGACATATTTTAGAAATCTTCAAAAATAAAATTGATTAATAACATGAAGCTGCCGGAAGAAAGAAAGAAAGACAGAACAGGGAACACTTTAAAGCAAGTCAGAAGGAATCAGCCAGCAGTCATGCAGACATATCTTAGAAGCTCGGCATAGCTACAATTGGCCGCACCAGGAGAACATCTAGATCATGAAATCCATCATAAGTACCTGCTATAATTCATCACCTTCCTCTCTATCCTTGTCTGGCTATCTACCTACCTATCCATTAAACTTTAAAAAATCACTCAGTTCAAGGGAAAGTAGTGCAGCATCAACCTGATGAGTCCAAAACAAAAAGGAAATAGATGAAGACATTCAGATGAGTAAGGCAATCATTAATCCAGCCACAAAAAACTGCCAGCAGCAGGGAACTGGGCAATCGTTGGGCACAAGTTCAGCCAAACATCATTTCCTTATGATGCTTCACTATTCAAATAGTGATTTAAAACCAAAATATAGCTACTATGTGACCTCCAAAATGAACATTCAAAATGTACTACTTGATGACGGAAGTATTCTCCAGAAGTTCATCTCAAAATAAGCCTGATTTGATGGTAAAAATCACATTCTGTCCTCACCACAAAGTAAGCCTGATTTGGAGCAGCTGAAAAGAAAAATGCCAAGTTTTGCATCAGATTTTCATGTATAGACAAAATAATATCTGCATTTCATTATTTAACAAAAAATTCAAGAGTCCTGCAATTTTCAGTCTTAGATCAAGACTATGAACAATACTGTCACCCAAGCATTAACCCTGCCTGTCATCTCGCACTTCACATCTCTTAAGCCCAGATGACTCGAGTGATCTGCAGCAACCATGTATGTGATTCACTACCAGGGTTTTATGAGGTTTTTGGTTGAACTTGTTCCCAGACTGCTTCATCTGCAGACTATTTAAATGCAATCTCCTCAGGCAGAAAAGCCTATAATATTTGACCGCAATATCTGGAGTGAAACCCAAAGGTCAAAATATCTAAACTTGTCTACCTCATCTAAGCAGGTCACATTTTCAAGAACAAAAAAAGCCATTTTTTCCACTCAACTCAGTGGCCCTGCTCGAAAACTTGTTATATTGCTTTTAGTGCATAAAATCCAAATTGGAAGTGCTACTCTCAGCGGGTTCTACCTTTAAAGTTGGCCATTGATCCCAAATTTGCTTCAAAATCTATTTAAAAACATGTAATGGAGGCCACAGGCAAAGAGTGTAGCGAATTACAACTTAGTTGGATGTAGTTCAATTAGATCATCTCTTCTTTGAGCAAGTTGAAATGATTCAAGCTCCAGTCTGATCATCTCAAATCTAAAAATTTCCGCTCAAAGTTCAACCATTAGTTGCTTTAGGATCTGTTGATAGTCCCAACCCCGCAATTGGGTTCATCGTACCTTGCCTGCCTATGCCACAAATGCAGAGGATCACTTTTCTGGCCCCAAGCTCAGGTCAACCCAGGTCTAGAAATTGTCTGCAAGTACAGGGAGTTTCTTAGTGAGTACCATTTCTGAAATAGAGGAAAGGTGTAACTTGTCATGCAAGCATTTTAAGATATAATACAATACTAAGCTACAACTGCCCGCAAAACTAAGCACTCTTCAACAAGATGGTGTCCAGCACTCCTAGCCATTTTACCTACCCAAGAATAATACAAAAAAATAAAGAGAGTGGTTTGGGGCCATCCAGAGCCAAAAAAACGTAATATAGTTCCATATGCTATAATCTAACAGCAAAACAAACAACTCTAAAGGTAAACTTACCCATGAGAACCTGCTAGATCCTTTTTACTTTGGCAATTCCACCAAATCGGCACACGAGGAAGAATGTTGAATAGGTGTTATTCAGTGACTGAATTGCAAGGGCATCTGCCCCTCAAAATTCCCCCAAGGCCAAACAAACCTACCAGGCAACATCAATTACAATAAACAACTCTATGACTGACTTTCAATAGAGACATGATGCTCCCACAGAATATTAACTCACACCTTGTACCCAGCTGTAACCAGGTTTTTTGGTGACATACTCTTCCTTCATTTTGTTTCTCAGCTCAACCTTATTATCCCACATCTAGGCTGCAGCATATATGTTTGACAATAAAACATAGTTTGAAGGTTCATTTGGATCCACTTCAATCAGCATCTGTGCAATCTGGTTGCCTTTCTCAGTGTTCCCATGTGTGTTGCAAGTAACCAACAGAATTTTCCATAAAAGCGTTTTCGATTGGAAAGGTACTTTAATAATTAAAGCCTCTGCCTCATCCACCTGGTCAAGCCGACCAAGGAGATCAACCATGCAGGCATAGTGATTTCCTGTAACTTCCAAGCCATAGTCCGTTCTCATAGATTCGAAGTACTGCCAACTTTCGTTCAAGAGCCCTGAATGACTACATGTGGTTAGAACCCCAATAAAGGTCACCGCATCTGGCTTCAACCCAGCTTCTTTCATACCCTCACAAAGCTCAACAGCCTCTCGTCCAAGGCCATGACGGGTGTGCGTGCGGGTTTTTGCACAATAGTTGAAATGGGAACAGATCTTTACCACGATGAACTCTGGTTCGTCGGATAGGTCGAGAGGGACAAAGGGAGTTTAGGTTGTTATAATGATCCGCTTCTAAGACATTCGATCGACTCTGGATGAGATTCAACCCATTGGAACGATGGTTCTGACCACAAGAAATAGGTTGAGAGGACAAAGGGGTCCTAAAGACTGGTGATGAATTACTGCTGGGGGTATCGATCGAATGACCAAAAGTAGGCTGACGGGGACAAAGGGATCTTATAGACTGGTGATGATTAATAGCTGGTGATGTCGAACTGACTCCGGAGATCCTTAAGAGATTCCCGATACACAAAAAATAGGTTAGAAGGGTGTCGAAGTGCTCTCCGGCATATCCCCTCTGACGATTAAGTCAATTTTTCTTGAGAGGAGATGAGGAAAACACAGTATGGCATTTTTGAGGCAATCTCTCGTACCTTTGCAATATGTTTTTGAGAATTATTTATACCTTCAAAGGCTCATCATTGCTGACCATCTAGACTACTGGTAGTCTTCAGAGGTGGGACAGTGTGCCCCTTATTTTTGATGGGGAATGTCCCAGTATTCATTGCTCGGCTTGTCGAGCATTTAATATTAATATCCTGTATGTGATAGCATTAAAAGCCCGGATTCCCAAGCATTAAATGCTGTAACTTTTTGGCTCCTCAAGCCTCAGTAAATGTCTTGTCAACTGATAGTGTAGTGAATGAGTGTCTTTATTGGCCGCATATTAGCAGGGGTAGGCCTGTCTTTTTACTCCTTATATTGTACTCATCGCCATGTGTCTGACATTCTTTGGTTGAATGTCAAGCTCAAACGGTCACCCTGACTACTTTATGTAGGGTGTTTCTGCAATCACTAGTCTGATTTAGGCTATCCACCCGTCAGTCCCTAGTCTTCTCAAGAATCGAGGATTTGTGAGCCAAGGTACCAGTATTAAAACGGGTGAGTGGGGTTATAGAAAGTACTCTCGGGACCGAGGGTGTCGCAGCCGAGGGAGATATACCAGTATCAACGCTATAAATTGAGGCTTTCTGGGGCCGAGGACACGTGGCTCAGGCGGAGCGAGATTCTTCTTCCTCGTAGATCCTGGTGAGTCTTCATTCTCTTTTCCTTTTGGTTTTCTCCGGTGGCTGGTAGCATTCCGGGCCATCATCTTCTTTGTTCTTGAAAAACCAGAGCCTAGGAGTCTTTTAGACTTCCTCTCTGTTGCTTCGTATTTCTTAGCCTCTTAGGATTCCTCCTCGAGTTTCAAGGAAAGAACACTTCAGTCTTGACCTCCTCTCTGTGTAAGATGTCAAGGCGTCAACCCATGGCTAAGGCCGAGGAGGCTGGGACCTCAAGGCCGAGGAAATGGACGGTTAAGGGTGCCCAGGAAATAGCAAATTTCAAAACCTATTATGACATCCCTCGAAGCGTTGATGTAAGGGGATTCAACCATGTCCGCCATCGTCATGACGCAGGCGCCGAGGACGCCATGCCTTTTTACACTAAGACAATTATGAAGGGAGGGATTAGGTTTCCTCTCCCTCCACTGCTCCTTCAGTTTCTCTCTAGGTTCCGTCTATTCCTGGGTTAGTGTGCCCTTAACGTTTTTAGGATCATCATGGGTGTTGTGGAACTGAACAAGCGCCTCGGGGTCAACCTGGGCCTCGAGGACGTCCTCTTCTATTATACCTTGATGAGAGTGTCGTCAAAAGGTGTCTTTTACCTCAAAGCCTGGGACACCTCCATGTACCTCGTCACTCATCTTCCTGATTTAGATAAGGGGTATAAGGATGATCTTCTGGTCTTCAGTGGAGCCTGGGAGAAGGGAGTCGGGCCTGAGTATGATGGCTTGTCCTGCCCCAATGAGTGGCAAAGCGCAAGTATGTCGGGTTCCCCTTTCCTAAGTTCTTTTTTCCTTTGTGTTTAAATAATGGAGTGCTGACGATCTTCTTTTGTGCAGACGTTTCTTCTCGGGAGGCTACTCCCCCTGCTCGGCATCTTGTAAATTTTTCGGACCTAGTGACTGTCTGGGGGTATATTGGTGACGGTTTTGGTCGAACGGGGCACGTACTTTTGGGCTACACACTTGGTTATAAGAAGTTTTCTCAACTCCCTCAGCCATACAACCCCTCCCGGTGGTCTGAACTTTTTCATCAAGCAGCAGAACAGGACTTCGAACCGAACTTAGAAGAGGATCTCGACAGAGCCATAGAGGCCGAGGTTGAGAGGGTAGAAAAAGCGACCGAAGTCAAGGAAGCCCCGACTGCTCATCCCTAAACCAGCACGGCCAGGAGGGAAGATTGGCCAAACTTCAACATTTTTGCAAACTTTGGATCAGGAAGACGCACTTGAGGCCGCAATGTACTTCAGCCTCTAATCGACCCGAACTTCCTAAATCGGAGGGCTACCTTGAGGGGCAGGGGGTCAGGATCGGCGAGTGGTGTTCCCCTTCCCCCTCCAAAAGCAGGTACTAGCGTCCCCCCACCTCCAAGAGTTAGTACCGGAGTTCCTCCTTCTCCTGCGTCTTTTGGTGGGCCCTGTAGTTGAAGAGGAGAGGAGGACCAAACAAAGGCACAATGGAGCAGGCCGAGGCAGGGACCTTTCATCGCGACAACAACAGCAACATCAGCAACAACAGCAACAGCGAACTCCCCCTCCTCCAGTACCAACATCAGCAGCTGAGGAATGGTGCCCCCAGACTCGAGACAGGATGAACAGGCCAATTCGGGTTAGTGACTCCATTGTCAGCGATCCTCACGTGGCCTACGCCGTGAGTGAGAATCTCCATTTCGATGCTGACATAGAGGTACACCAAGAGCGGCCAATCAACCAGCTATTCTGATTGATCATCCAGCACTCTTTAGTGGTAAGTGTCAATTCTCGGTGTCTTGTTTTCCCTTCCTTAGTGTAACTGTTTGTTTCATTTCGCAGACTACCCAACAAGTGTCAATTATTATTGTGCGCAATCACGAACAGAGACAAGGTTTTCAGCAAGCCGAAAAGGAGAAGGTTGAGGTCGAGGCAGCCCTTGCAACTGCCAGGGAGGAGGTGGCCGCCAGGGATGCCACCTTGTTGGCTCAGGAGGCCCAGATCGAGCAGCTACTCAAGGATGGCGAAGCGGCGAGGGTCGGCGCAAATAAGCTGAGTGCCGCCCTTGCCGACGCCAAGAGGAGAATAATTGAAGCAACCCAACGATTCTCTGCTACGGAGGCCAAGGTCGAAGAATCGGAGTAGACCTGCACTGCTCTCGCCCAAGAGCTGGACAAAGTTAGAGCCGAGGCAGCAACAGCAGCGAGGAGGACAGAAGAAGAAATAAGAGATCAATGTGCTGACGACGTCCTTGCTGCCCTTGAGGAGAATAAGACTGAATTTTTCAAGAAGGGCTGGGACGCGGCACTCCAGGAGGCAGGGGTTCCCTCAGAGTCTCCCTTGTTTGTCATACACCAATATGTTCCTTCTAAGGCCATGATGCAGGCTGCCGCCGAGGTCGACGCTGAAGAGACAATCCCTGTTCCAATGCAAGGCCCGGGAGAATCTTCTGAGGTAGCGGCTGTTCCCCCTGTTACCGCTCCAATTACTGAAGGTAGTCTTGTAGTCCCTGCGATGGCAGTGCCTCCTGCTCCCGTGCCTCTTGTGCCTCTTGCACCTGTTTCTCCTACTCCTTCCTCCTCCAGCCTGGAAGAACTCTTCAGTGAAGCTCCTCTTGCTAATGCAGGCAAAGTCTTTAGCCCTCCTGCCCGAGCAACTTAAGTTTCCTCAAGTTTTCTTTTGTTTTTCTTTCTGTACATGTACTTTTTCCTTTCTCTGTAGCCCTCGGGGACGCAAAGCCCCGTCTTTTGAAATAGAAGTATCGCTTCTTTGCTTTTAGTGCAGTTCTTGGACAACTTCTAATTTTTAAAGGATTGAATTGACTTTTAACCTATTGCTAAATTTACGATAGATGTTGACCCTGGGGACCAATAATCGTTCCTAGGGACTAAGTACCAGTGGACGGATTACTTTTACTCCTGTTAGCTTCATCTTCCTTGATGGTCGTCTCGAGAGGATTAAGACGTATCTACGTATGGCTTCATCTAGCTCGGTCCCGACTAGTTCCTCCTTCCCCTTTAAAAGGGTCAGTTTCCGATCAAGAGTCATACTCCTATATGATAATTAAAAATCGGGTCTCCGAAACCTCGGGAGGTTGTCCCTGGTATTGACTCGTGGATGGAAGCCTTGTACTACTCTGTGATCCGTGTTTTTTCTTAGGACCGACTCATGTTCTTTTTCGAAAGCCAGAATTCTAGACTCTGCTTCCAGGGTCATGCCCTTCTCAGGAGGCTGGCTCTTGTTCTTAGTTGGAAGCCAGAGTTCTGGACTCTGCTTCCAGGACCATGCCCTTCTCAGGAGGCTGGCTCTTGTTCTTATTTGGAAGCCAGAGTTCTAGACTCTACTTCCAGGGCCATGCCCTTCTCAAGAGGCTGGCTCCTATTCTTATTTGGAAGCCAGAGTTCTAGACTCTGCTTCCAAGGTCATGCCCTTCTCAGAAAAACTTTTTGCATAACACAACCTTTATTTGTCAAAAGTAGTATTTCTTCAGATTCATTACATTCCAAGGTCGTATTACAGCATTTCCTGTCATGTCCTCCAATCGGTATGACCCAGAACTTCCTACCGATGTGATCTTGTATGGTACTTCCCAGGTGGGACCCATCTTCCCATCAATCTAGTCGCAGGTGTTTGTTATCACCCTTCTGAGCACTAGATCTCTCACTTGAAATCCTCGGGGTCTGATCCTTTTGTTGTAGAGTTTGGATATCCTTTCCTAGTACTTGGTCAATCTCAAAGCAGCTACTTCCCTCCTTTCCTCTGCTAGGTCCAGGTCTGAACAGAGCTGTCGATCGTTGTCGCCGGCATCAAAGGTTTGTGTTCTTATAGTGGGGAGGCCCACTTCCAAAGGGATGACTGCCTCTATGCCATACATGAGGGCATAAGGTGTTTCGTTGGTAGAGGTCCAAGGAGTGGTCCTATATGCCTATAGGACGTTCAGGAGCTCGTCCACCCATTTCCCCTTGGCCTTCTCCAACCTTTTCTTGATTCCACTGATGATGATTTTGTTGGAGGACTCAGCTTGTCCATTGGCTTGCGGATAGGCAAGGGTGGAGTAATAATTTCTGATCCCAAGATATTCACAGAAAGACTTAAATGGTCTGTTATTGAATTGAGTCCCGTTATCCGACACCAGTGCTCGGGGGATTCCAAACCTTGTCACTATATTCCTCCAGACAAACCTCTTTGCGTCTAAATCCCTGATATGGGTCAGCGGCTCCGCCTCCACCCATTTGGTAAAACAATCAGTTCCTACTATCAGGAACCTCTTATCTCTTGGAGCCCTCGGAAGAGGTCCAACCAGGTCCAATCCCCACTGAGCAAACGGCCATGGGCTGGTTAGTGGATGCAATTCACTAGCCGGTTGCTTGATGGCTGGCGAGAACCTTTGACACTGATCACATTTTCTGACGTATGCTTGTGCGTCCTTCTGCATTCGCGGCCACCAATACCCCTGAGTCATGATGCAATGGGCCATGGTCCTTCCACCCGAATGTCCTCCACAAATTCCCTCGTGCACTTCAAACAAAAGAGGTTCAACCTTTTCTTCCCGGACACATAATAGATATGGTCCGGAGAACGATCTTCGGAAAAGTTTCTCATCTAGAGAGACCCAGAATCTTGGAGCCTTCAATCTTATCTTTTTGGCTTCCCTAGGACATTCAGGGAGTTCTTCGGAAGAGAGGAATTTAAGCAGTGGGTCGGTCCAGCTGGGTGGCTTTTCTCCTTCCTGGATAGCCAATACTTCAAAGGTTTCGTCTATACTAGACTTGGGGAGGTATTCTATGGTAATCCTCCGCGTTGGTGGAATCAAGAGCTGAGGCCAAGCAAGCAAGGGCGTCGGCGTGGGCATTTTTGTCTCGAGGAACTTACTTAACTTCAATTCTTCTAAACTTACGAAGCCAAGTCATCACTTCGTGGTGGTAGGCCTTCATCCTAGAATCCCTTGTCTCGAATTCTCCGTTGACTTGGTTTACTACTAACATGGAGTCGTAGTGGATCACCAGATTCGTCGCTCTTGTCGCACTAGCCAACTTAAGCCCAAAGATAAGGGCTTCATATTCAGCCTCGTTGTTAGAAGCTTCATATAATGCCTTAACTTTCTTATAACTGTGGCCAACGCCAGTGCTAACTTTTCGAGAGGCAGGTACCTCGTTTCGGCGTCCAACAAAGCTTTGCTCACATAATAAATGGGCTTCTGTTCACGTTTATATTCACGGACCAACACTCTGCTCACGGAGAATTCTGATATGGCCAAATACAGGAGTAACATCTCCCCCTGAGCCGGGACGGAGAGGATCGGCAGGACCCTAAGGTACTCCTTGATCCCCCTTAGGGCATCTTCGCATTCCTGGCCCAAGTATCCTTATCGGCCTTCCTGATGGCTCTGAAGAAGGGTTTGCACTTGTCTGACGAGCGGGAGATAAAATGGCTAAGCGCCACCAACATTCCTGTGAGCTTCTGAACTTCCCGGACCGTTTTGGGACTTCGTACCTCCAGGATGGCTTGTATTTGTTCTTGATTGGCTTCAACCCCGCGTCGACTTACCAAATACCCAAGGAATTTCCCAGACCCAACTCCGAAGAAGCACTTTGCAGCATTTAGCTTTAGGCCATATTCCCGAAAGCTCAAGAAGGTATCTTCCAAGTCCGCCAGGTGGTCTTCACTCTCCTTACCTTTTACCAACATGTCGTCAATATAGACTTTCATGGTGTCCCCCAATTGTCGTTTAAACATCCGATTCATGAGCCTCTGGTAAGTGGCCCCTGCATTCTGCAAGTCAAAAGTCATGACTGTGTAACAATAGACTCCTCTTGGAGTGATGAAGGTTGTCTTCTCTTAATCGGACGGATGGAGAGAAATTTGATGGTAGCCAACTCGAGCGTCCAAGAAGGTCATACGCCGGTGTCCTGCCATAGCATCCACCAGTTGGTCCACTTTTGGGAGGGGGAAGTCATCCTTTGAACAAGCTTTGTTTAAGTCGGTAAAATCTACGCAAACGCGCCACTTTCCCCCCTTCTTTTTTGCGCAAACCATATTGGACAACCATTCTAGGAACTGTACATCTCGGATAGTTTTCGCTTCGAGGAGTCTGTCAACCTCCTCATTCACAGCTTGAGCATGATGAGGTGCTGTACACCGGGGTTTCTGTTTTATTAGTTTATAAGCCGGGTCAACATGAAGTCTATGGGTAATGACGTCCGGACTTATCCCTTTCATTTCCGTGGCATCCCATGCGAACACATCTACATTCCTCCTTAGGAAGTTTGTCATCTCTTCTTGTTCGTTTAGGGTCATGGTGGAGCCGATCAAGAAATACCTTTCTTCATTTCCCTCCATCAAAGTATCTTCCGTAGATCCTCCACCGAGCGATTCGCCAGGTCCGTCCTAGGGTCATCTACTCCTAGACGCCCAAACTATAATTACTATTTATTTAGAATCTCCTCCGGGGCAGGCTCCTTTTCCTTGGAGGCGACCCCTGCCCTCACAGCAGAATAAAAATAATTTCTGGCGGACGCCTGATCCCCACAGATCTCTATAACTCTCTCCAAGGTGGGGAACTTCAATTTTTGGTGATAAGTCGAATACACAGCCCCCAGAGTATGTAACCAGGCCCCGTCCCATAATAATATTGTAGGGGGAATCTGAGTTGATTACCACAAACTCCGTGCTGGTCATAACAGGTCCGGTAGTGACCGGCAATGTGATCTTCCCCAGAGGTAGGGCATATGAACCATTAAATCCCACGAGAGGCGTACTGACTTTGACGAGGTCCTGTGTGCCAAGCCCCATACATTTCAAGACTTCGAATTACATTACCTCAGAGGAACTCTCAGAGTCCACCAAGACTCTTTTAACGTCAAAGCTTCCAATCCTCAAGGTCAGGATCAAAACGTCTTCGTGGGGAAAGACCACGCCTACTAAGTCGGCATTGGAGAAAGTGATGTCCTCCTTGTAGACTCAGGGCTTTTTGTCAGGCCGGTTGTCACCCCGTTCGTCTACCTTTCTTGTGAAAGTTATTTTCTTCAGATCAGATCTGAGAGTCTTGGATGTTGGTCGCTCCAACGGCCAGACGTGAATGACGTCGATCACGTTGCCCTGGACGGCGGTCTGGTTATTGGCTCCATGGATCTCCTCTGTCGTTTTGATGAACTCTTTCAAGTGCCCGTCCTGTACCAACTTTTCCAGGAAAGACTTATATGCCCTGCAGTCCTCGATTCGATGCCCAACATCCTAGTGGTAAGCACACTTCACATTTTGGTTTCGGGTGGACGGATCACCCAGCATCTTGGGTGGCCATTTGAAGAAGGCTTCCCTCTTGATTTTGTGAAGCAATTTGTAGATGGGTTCTTTGAACACAAAGTGAACTCCTTTGAAAGAACTCTTCGTAGGCGGTATCAGTCCTTTCCGAGGAAAGGTATCCTCTTTCTCTTTCCTCTTTGGGGCGAGATTCCTTCCTTTGCCCCCCACCATCTCGTCCTCGACTCGAGAATACTGGTTGATCCGGGCCATCAATTCTCCTATATCACCCAACGTCTTCTTGGTCAAGGATCGATAGAGTTCGATGTCCCTAGAGAGACCGAGCCTAAAAGAGGCTACTGCCATGACCTCGGAACATCCCTCTACCTCATTTACCTCCTTCTAGTAACAAGCTTCATATTGGCGAAGAGTCTCTCCCTATTTTCGTCTCAAGGTCAGCAATGACCCTACACTTTTGGGACGTCTACTCCCCGTGATAAACCGGGTGGAGAATTGTCTGGTCAGCTCCCTCCAAGACCCTACACTATTAGGTGGAAGGGTTTCAAACCATTTCATGGCGGAATCTTCCAGGCTCATCGAAAACACCTGGCATAGTAATCGCTGATCCGAATGGTATAGGGATATCATCTGCTTGTATTGTCTGAGGTGGGTTTCGGGGTCAGACCTCCCATCGTAAACCTTGAACCTTGGCACTGCGAACTTCTTGGGCACTTCCATCTCCATTATGTTTCGTGTAAAAGGGGATGGAACGACTTCATCGTCGATATCATCCTCCAACGGGGCTTTGTTTTTTCTCCCGGATTCCAACCGAGCTCTGAGATCCCCTTGTCCAGGGAGAACGTCTATACGCGCTTGATGGGTAGGGCGGTTCCTTGCCTCATGACAAATAGAGAGGGTTGACCCTTCTTCGAACTCCTCCACGCCCCCTCGTTCGGACAGACTCCGACGGAGGTTATCCCAGGCCAACGGCTTAGTCCGCTTGGTCAAAACCTCTAGGAATTTTCCCCTGGCCCTCGGGCGTTTCGGAGCCCTGGAGATTCCAGCCCTGTTACTCAAACGATGCCTCAAATCCTCGGGTTCCGCCTCTTTAACAGAAGGTTCTCTAGGCCTGACCAAATCTCTCGTTCCCTGGTCCGAGGCTGCAAACTCATCAAGGCGGTGGAGGACGTTAACACTGTCCTTTTTCAGCTGGCGTAGCCTATCACCAAATTTTTCCTCAATCACCTCTACCAATTGACGGGCCAACGGGGTGGACCCTCCTGACCCAATACCCATGCTGGTCTGATGGGTTTCCTCCATTGTATGAACAGTTAGCCCTTTATTAGTACTTTTCACATAGTTTCTCGTCTTCGAGCAGGATGGGATTGGTAATTCGAGATTCCTCTGTTGAGAACCTTTTCCCCTTTGTCGAGTATTCACTATGGTCACTGTTCTTTGAAAACTCTAGTCGTTTCCCACAGACGGCATCAGATTGTGTGTGCGGGTTTTTGCACAATAGTTGAAATGGGAACAGATCTCTCCCACGATGAACTCTGGTTCGTCGAGAAGGCGATTTTGGCAAAGCGGGGATAGGTCGAGAGGGACAAAGGGAGTTTAGGTTGTTATAATGATCCGCTTCTAAGACATTCGATCGACTCAGGATGAGATTCAACCCATTGGAACGATGGTTCTGGCCACAAGAAATAGGTTGAGAGGGACAAAGGGGTCCCAAAGACTGGTGATGAATTACTGCTGGGGGTATCGATCGAATGATCAGAAGTAGGCTGAGGGGGACAAAGGGATCTTATAGACTGGTGATGATTAACAGCTGGTGATGTCGAACTGACTCCGTAGATCCTTAAGAGATTCCTGATACACAAAAAACAGGTTAGAAAGGTGTCGGAGTGCTCTCCTGCATATCCCCTTCGAAGATCAAGTTAGTTTTTCTTGAGAGGAGATGAGGAAAACACAATATGGCATTTGTGAGGCAATCTCTCGTACCTTTGCAATGTGCTTTTGAGGACTATTTATACCTTCAAAGACTCATCATTGCTGACCATCTAGACTACTGGTAGTCTTCAGAGGTGGGATAGTGTGCCCCTTACTTTTGATGGGAAATGTCTCAATATTCATTGCTCGGCTTATCGAGCATTTAATATTACTATCCTGTATGTGATAGCATTAAAAGCCCGGATTCCCAAGCATTAAAAGCCCGGATTCCCAAGCATTAAATGCTGTAACTTTTTGGCTCCTCAAGCCTTAGTAAATGTCTTGTCAACTGATAGTGTAGTGAATGAATGTCTTTATTGGCCGCATATTAGCAGGGCAGGCCTGTCTTTTTACTCCCTATATTGTACTCATCGCCACGTGTCTGACATTCTTTGGTTGAATTTCAAGCTCAAACGGTCACCTTGACTGCTTTATGTAGGGTGTTGCTGCAATCACTAGTCTGATTTAGGCTGTCCACCCGTCAGTCCCTAGTCTTCTCAAGAATCAAGGATTTGTGAGCCGAGGTACAAGTATTAAAACGGGTGAGTGGGGTCACAGAAAGTACTCTCGGGACTGAGGGTGTCGCAGCCGAGGGAGATATACCGGTACCAACGCTATAAATTGAGGCTTTCTGGGGCCGAGGACACGTGGCTCGGGCGGAGGGAGAAAGGCTCCTCGGCGCCGAGGACACGTGTACCAAATCTAAGGCACTTCTAGAAAAGTCCCATCAATGGGCATATCCAGACATCATAGCAGTCCAAGACACCACAGTTTTAGCATTCAATCCATCAAAAAACTTGAGTGCATCTTTTATACCACCACACTTACTATGCATATCAATGATGGAAGATGCAACATGTACATATGACTCAAATCCAGTTTTAAAGCTACAGGCATGGAACCACTTGCCCATCTCTTGAGACGCTAAGCCAGCACAAGCTGAAAGACAGCTAGACAAAATGGAGTCATCAATTGAGAAAATTGGAGCACTTTGAAATTCTGCTAAAGTCTTTCGCGCTCGTTTGTCACAACCATTTTGGACCCATGCTGTTATCATGGTGCTCCAGGCAACAAGATCATGCTGACTCATGGATAGAGAAGCATTTTGGATTTCGTCTTTAAATGCCGCATACACACTGATCAGTGCAGTTCCAACAAAGGGATAACATTCATATTCTACTTTCATTACATAACCATGGATTTGTTTTCCTTCATCAAGAGCTTTCAGTCCCACTCAAGCTTGCAGAATAGGTACCACAGTAAAATGGCTCAGTTTGGCAATCACTGGAGCAAAAAACATATCACTGCACTGCCTCAATGCTTCTGAAAAGCGCCCCATTTGACAGCAACCTAATATGACTGTAGTCCATGAGAACTCATTTGGCATTGTCATCACTTTAAATACCATTTTTGCATCATCAACAACTCCACATTCAGCATATAGCTCGATCAGTGCATTTTCTATGCATGAATAAGAGTCAGAATCATTGAAATTTTTTAGAACATAGGCATGAAGTGATTTTCCTTCCCTTAACATAAGCAGATCTGCACATGCTCGAACAATATAGCTTAATGAAGGAATCCTCGGTGCAAGTTCTAGTTTCATCATCTGACAGAATAATTCTAAGGTCATTTCATTAATTGAACAAAAGACTAGGTTGTTAATCATGGCACTAAAGCATATTTGGTTCTTGTTTTTAACCTCAGTGAAACACATATAAGCATCCCAAATGATTCCACTGTTTTCATACATGTCGATAAGGGCACTCCCCAGAAATGAATCCAACGCAAACCCATATTTGATGAAACTGCAGTGCACTTGGGGTCCAATGCCCTCAATGTCTGACTTTGCACACAAACTAAATACAATGGCAAAACTAAATGGGTCTGGTTTAGCACCATCAGAAAGAAATTCAATGAAAAGGTTCAGGCCTTGTTCGGCCTCCCCATTTTGAAGAAATCCAGCCAGTAAAGCACACCATGCCACATTATCCCTCTCTTCTAAATTCCAGAATAAGTTACATGCATCAGCTAGTAATCCAAATTTTCCATAGGTGTCAGCTAGGGCTTCACACTCAAAAGTAACACCTTCAAATCCTACCTTTAAAATGCAGCAATGGAGTGACCTCAGAAGATCACAATCCAATAACTTGGAGCATAATTTTAATATTAGGTGAACTGCTAGAATAAGCCATGCGATGAAACAACCTGAAAGCTTCCTCCACATCACAGGTTTGTGCATAACCGTCTAGCAATTTATTCCACAATGCTTCGGAGCTTCTGCATAACAGGATTCCCTCAAAAAACTTTTGGGCATTTTTCACATCTCCTGATCAACATACAATCCAAGAATTGAAGCACTACAAAAGCTATTCAATACAAACCCACATTTCAATATCACCCCCTGCAATAGCTCACCCATCACAAAATCATGCATAGTCCTACAAGCCTTAAGAGCCACAGAGAAACCAAACTCATTAGGCTGCAACCCAGACCGATCCATTTGCAAAAACATGGACAACCCCTTATTATATTGACCATCATGAACGTATCAAGAGATCATAATTGTCCAGAAAACCAAATTCGGTTCCGATATTTCATCGAACACTTGATGCGCATTTAACAAATCTCCACAAATTGATAGAAATCTTTTCAAATTATGAAGAACAAAGACATCTTGATTCAATCCTGCTTTTATGCAGATTGAATGAACAGACTTTCCATGGTTTAGTTCTCTGATATCACCTAGGTGATGCAAGAGTAAGACAGTTTTGAGAGCCAAACCAGCCGTTTTGGGCTGTTGTCATGAACTTCCTGAGGTGGGTCGATTTCCGAAGTAAATTGTTTTTGCTCACGGTGATAAAACGAGCAGTGTTTTTTGTTGCTATGGAAGAAAGTGTGAAATGATTCAGAAAGATCATGTCTCAGAAGCTTCATTTGTTGTTGGGCTTATCTGTTGTGTCAATGTAGATGGCTATTTTTGATTAGATTGGGTGGAAATTAGTCTGAGTTATTTATACGTTGACATGAATATCCGTTTAACCAAAAAAATTAAAAAACAAACTAGAGCTATTTTCAAAAACAACAATGAGATGTAAATTCAGATGTAATGAATTTAAAATTATGATTTTTAGAGTCAGATTATGAGTAATTTGTCTTGAATCTTTTAATCGTGATATGAATGGTGTGTAATTGATCAAACTGAAAAAAAAATTAATTAAAAAAACTAGAGCTACTTCACAGAATATAAAATAGACTTATAGAATAAATGATAATATCTTAAAAGGTTTATAAATTTTCAATGTATTTTTTGAGAGATCAAAATTTTCTTAGTGCACCTTGCATCATATAAAAAAGGTAAAAACTTTAGTTCCATTTTAATTTTGGGGCTAGCGTGATGTAAACGTAGTCATGTCTGGCTCTTGACATCGAATTTATCCGATCACAATTGAATTGAATTGAATCTACGCCCTTGCCAAACATGACTATCATGTTTAGACTAATTTATTAGCCCTTATTCATATCCCAAGAGAGGGAGAGGGAGAGGGAGAGAGAGAGAGAGAAGTCAATAGGGTTTTTGACCATAATAGATGTATGTTTAGGACATGTTCGGCTCAAATGTAACATAGCTTAATTGGTTTATCGTACCTAAATTTTATCATGTTTGAATTAATTTTTAGATAAGTTAGGGTCTAATACGCTCAAATCCTCTATTACATCTCATTTAATATCATCTATTATATGATATTAGTTTATATTAAATACAGGTGTTGGATGACATTTTTACATCAGACCAATAATGTGAAACTCTTTAAGACTAAACTTAATGGAATTGTCTATGGATTGAGAAAAAAAAATCAGTACCATATTTTCATTTATCATATTTATGGATATTTGTATCACTGTTATAAGTGTTTTTATAATTCTTATTGTACCGAAAAAAGTAATAAAAATAGCTACCATAACAGTGATAAAAAAAAAACCCACAAATGTGACAAATTACTCGTAAAAGTGATAATTTTTTTTTTTGTATCAAAGAAAAGTGATAAAAAAAATTACTGACGATGTATACCGTGCAACTGGACAAGGTTATGATTGATCCAAGGGGCAGGGAATCATTGAATGATCTAGTCAGAGCTCTTGGACTCTTTAGGATTGAACAAACGATAGAAGATTGCAGCAAGTAGTTTATACTGGTTCACCAATTTGGAAGTTCGGTTAATCTACTCTAAAAGGAGTTTTTGGCTCTTGGGGAAGATTTTATTGATAAAATGGAAGGTTATACAAAGTTGGGGTGTCAATTTTTGACTTGAACAAGAACTCGATACGAATTCAAAAATAACACGATTACTTGACACGAGTAATAAATGAGTCAAATTACAATTTGACGCGAATAACACGATTAATGAGTACAGTAGATAGAAAATAATTATTTAATGAGTATTGTAGATAAAAAATAAGAATTTTATAATTTTTTAAATAGTATTATATTATTTGATGTCAAATTAAATAATTTTTTATTAACATGAATATTGACACTAACCCGATACGACACGAAAATAACACAACTGAAAATTACACGATACGAAACTGATACGACACGACGATTGACACCCTTAATACAGAGTTTTTGCTCAAGCTAGTTGCTTGTGTTACATTGGGGAGAATATGTATGTGATTCATAGCCTCTCACGACTTTTCATGATTTTTTGGCGTGATCCTTGCCTCTTATATATAACGGACGCGTCTGTTGTGTAATCTTCGTAGGTGATGCCTTGGTAGTTGCAGTTCTATGTCGTTGCAGTTTATGTGAAACGCTTTGGTGATTATTAGATGTTATTTCTGTTGTTATCTTGGTGGTATTGTCTCTGAAAAAAACTGACTTTAGCACTTCTGGAAGCTCGCCATGAACTGTGTGGTTCCAGCTCAGACATGCCATGAACGCCCGTGCTCTATTTTGAGGATTATCGGTTAGTAATAAAAATATTTATAAATATATATAAAATTATCTATAAATATATTATAAAATAACTCATAAAAATTATAAAAAATTAATTAAAATTATAAATTTTAGAACTTCGTACCAATTTTTTTGGTCCGTACCGTAGTCAAACCTTATAACTAGGTCCTATTAGGTGATCATTAGACCAATTTCCCGACCTTGTTGCTTGCCTGATACTATAAAGCCGAATGGACCTTTGCCAGTGAAACACACAGCCAAGCTAACAAGACAGCATACTCAACACCAACATTATTCTATTGCTCAAACGAAGGGAGCTCTGTGAAAACGAATTCCAAAGCAGACGGCCCTCCATTATCACAACAAAGAGGCTAGCAAAACAGGGGAAGATCAACCAACGAAAATGTCTACTAGTATTCCAGTGATTGATCTACAAGAAATTTCATCAGAACCCCCAAAATTGGTCCAAGCATGTGATGAATGGGGATGTTTTCGGATCATCAATCACCAAATACCCACAACTTTAATGGCGGAAATGAAGTCGGTGGTGAGATCTCTACTTGATCTTCCTATGGAAATCAAGCGGAGGAACAGGGAAGTGATAGCCGGAAGTGGGTACGTAGCACCCAGCAAGGGCAACCCTCTTTATGAGGGTTTGGGTCTTTATGATCTAGGCTCAATTGAAGCTGTTCATGATTTTTGTACTCAACTTGATGCCTCTCCCTATCAAAGGTATTCTGATATTCTCTCTCTAGACACACTCATGTATTATTTCACTTATGTGCTGATCATTTGTTTGAGCTTCCTGATAGATATGCAATCCCCAAATTCAGTACTAAGTCAGACAGTGATGTCTTCTCAGGGACTAAGGTCTTTTTTTTTTCTTTTGGTTAAACCAGCGAGCTTAAGGTCCAACAACCCAGTCAGGGGCAATGACTTGATCATGGTGATGATCATTAAGCCAACTGCAAATCCCACTCAGGGGCTATAAGGTCGAGTAATTGTTGTGACTAAATTCTTGGTCTAGGGGATAACTTGAGGATCACTAAACAGTGCCCTGTGGACCACAGGATTTAATCACATTGATTACCCAAAAAATATTTGAAAAAAAAGGATCATAATTGTAAACTTTTGGTGGTAAGCTTGCTCCATTAAGGTCATGTATTTGTGGTACATGAAACAGTCTCTCTACAAACGGAATAATACCATGAACATCTAATTGTACCCACCTAGACCAGATTCTTCAGTGGCAGCATATATATATTTGTATTCTCCATATGTTGTCTTATAAAGTTCTGGATCACAGGGGAGAACATGCAATTGCAACACAATTAAGGTCTTACATGGGGTTTAGGACACAACACAACTACCTCGAAGAATTCTAATATCTCAAGTATTTTGATCTGCTGTATATGAATAACATAAATTTGATGTGTGGCATTTGTTTATGGACGTAAGCAAGAATTTTGTTGACCCACATGGTGCTTTTAATTCATTAGTTCCAATAGGAAAATTAGAATATACTGGAGCCTGTTTTTCTCTTTTGTTGTGTATTGGACCTTTGAAAACAGCATTGTTTACGGCACCAGTCTGCTGAAGTGCTGATGTGTGATGACTTCCTTGTGATGCAATTGCTGATGCGCCCATTAGTTTATTAGTAGTCAAAAAATAAGGTTGATCAAGAATGAAGTGATTTTGTCCCTAACTGAAAAGTGCAGGCTAAAATCTTTGCTAATTGTCCCTATTTATTGCAGGGAGACAATAACAAGGTATTCTCAATCTGTGCACGATCTGGCCATGGAAATTGGCAGTAAGTTGGCCAAGAGCATGGGTTTGGACAAGGATTTGTTCATGGGATGGCCTTGCCAATTCAGAATAAACAAGTACAGCTTCACTACAGAAACCATAGGGTCATCTGGGGTGCAAATTCATACGGACTCTGGATTTCTTACCATATTACAGGATGATGAAAATGTCGGGGGCCTTGAGGTGATGGACAAGAGGTCTGGGGCATTTGTAGCTGTCGATCCCTTGCCAGGCACCCTTCTTGTCAATCTTGGAGACATTGCTACGGTCGGTAACAACTTTTTTCACTTGGATCTCTTGCGATTTCAGGAATTTTCCTACTCCAGTCACATGTTATGAGTAGTCTTGTTAGACCATGCAAGGAGTTTGAGTATGATTCTGATTTTGCTCAATTTTAGCTCATTCAAGCTTGTTTGAACTGAAAGATAAACCAAATTTAATTGGATTATTAAGCTTGTTTTGTACATGATCTAAATCCAGTCCATGTGTGGCATACAAGAAGTACAATAGGCTTGGCTCCCTGTACGAAAGATGAGCAACCTCAAACTTATTCCAAAATAGCTTCAAACTATATATACTTTTATTTTTCTCTCTGATGTAATAGATTTTCAAAAAAAAAATATACATTTCTAGGATTTCCTTTTTTGGTTGATATACAGATTTTTTGAGATTTTTGTTGAGAAAATGACTATTAAGTTTTGGCATTAAATTTTTGGAATTTTTTTTGTTGAGAAATTAACTCACTTTTGACTAGAGTTTCCCCTGAATATTTGCAAGCTTCTGTCAACCCAAACTTGAACGAAATTTAAGCTTGACAATCATGCTCGCTTGCACCCAAAGTTGGTCACTTACACCCAAGTCAAGTTTGAGTATATTCTAGCTCGACTCTATTAACACCGTGCCATAAAATTGGCCCCTGCTCATACATTATGTAGGACAGTGATTGAGTTGTCACCTGCTCATATATATTTTGATACAGGTGTGGAGCAATGGAAGATTTTACAATGTGAAGCACAGAGTGCAATGCAAGGAAGCAAGAATACGAATATCAATTGCGCTGTTTGTGTTAGGACCTAAGGAGGAAGCAGTGGAAGCACCACCGGAATTGGTGGATTCTGAGGACCGTCGCCTCTATGTTCCTGTATTGTTTGAAGACTACAGAAAGCTCAGACTCTCCACCAGATTGCGAGCTGGTGAAGCTCTGTCCCTCTTGCATACTACCAACTCCTGAAGAATTTGGAACGGTGGTTGGACAAAACTAGAAAAACAAAATGTGATTGGATCATCCATTAATTAATTATGTTGTTGAAACAACTTGGTGACATTAGCTTGGCATAAAATTGGCGAAGGGAAAAGTCCTATGGTGATTGCAGCGTTGAATCCCCGACCTCTCGGGTCACCTGGGGATCTTCTCCAGGTTGGGGACTGCACCGGAAGCACGAGTTAGCAGTACTTGGGCAGTTGGAAATGAAAAAAAGGAAGAAGAAAAAATTGACCAACGGAGAGAGAGAGAGGTCATTTAGAGATGAAAATGGTCATTTAGAGAGATGGGAAACAACTACAGGACCCAAAAGTTCCGAGATAATAGGGGTAGTTACAAAGTAATTGGGGCCAACTTACGACCCGAAAAACTCAGTTACGATTTAGTGGGGTCGGGGTCCATTGACGATTCTAAAATAACTATGATTGATCATAATTTTATCATCGATACCAAATAACCTAATCCCTTGTAATATCATTAAGTTGAGTCATCTGTAGGACACTAAAAAGTAATCCAGACATTTGAATAGCAACAAATCTTGTGTCTTTTTATGTGGTAATTAATTTTGATTTATCGTAGGGAAACTAATCGGATAACAAATCTTATCCTCCGCTAAACCAAGCCACCCCAGATGGTAGCCTAATCAAAGAAGTTGAGCTTGTGCCCAATTGCTATCAGTTCTCATTCTTTTAACCTGCACAATGGGGTTTATTGGCAAAATGTCTACTGCGGCAAATGTACAGAGCTAGAAAAAATGAACCTTGCACTATCATAAATTGTAATTTCAGAGGAGAAACAACAATATTAATTTCATTGAGATATAAAATATGATTCATGTGCCCCATTCAACAAACTATTGAAAAACAAAAATTTGAGGCACACCTTCTACCTAGCTAATTTGCCATTTAATCAGATGGAATTCCTAGAAGTTACTGTTTACAGCAAACAGAAGTCCGACAAGGACCATCTTTTGGGTTACTTCCATGTTTTATATATACACCACTGGTACCATCAGAAAGGAAAGTTTTGCCTGGAAGAGAGCTGACCTGTTTCGTATTCTCACCTCTCTGTACTCTGCCATGAGGTCGACTTGACAGGTATGAGTTCACGACAAAATCCTTCCCTTCCGGTACAAATTTTGTCTGGGATTTACTGCTTGAAAACATCCTACATGAGACAGTTTTGCGAGAGGAATACTCCGGTGCGTACAAGGTGTTGAAGATTGAAGAAAGTGGATCAGTACTGCATGCATCAGCGTAATCAATGGTACTGAAAGAATCTCTAGTACTATCGGTGGTGAAAGATGCATCATCTGAGCTTGTGAAAATGGACCAATCACTTGATGTAGCATCTGAAAACTCCATGCTCATTGACTCGGCATAAGTCTCTATCCCTGGCGGCCTATTCCTATTTGCACTCCTAAGAATCCCATTAGAGGAGTGGTTGTTAAAGCCCATATTTGTTTCTCGTCTATAGTCTAAGGAAGGCTCCTGGCCATTTAAGTGGCAGCTGGATTTGCTTTGACCTGGTCTTGATGGCTTTGGAGTTTTTGCTGTCCAGTGCTTTGCAAAACTGGAAGCACGATGTTGGGTAGGTTTCCCAGCACAGGCTCTTGCTGGGCGGGGGAATGACCTACCAAGAATAAAAAGAAAACCTAACATTTCAAACCTGAATAAAGAAATAAATAGAAACTATTGACATGCCTAAAACTCCAGGCAAGGTGCCTGCAGTGGTGTCCAACACTGTTAACTGTAGATCTAATAAAAAAGAAACTGCAATCTGATGGCATTGCATTATGCAATCTGCAATCACTTTTTTCCGCATAAGAACTATTGCAGTTCCCATTGCAACATCCCATGTCAGTTTGATTTCACCCGCAAGTTACATACAATATCTATGGTTAAAAGTATTTTTATGCACTTGGGATCTGCAAAATTTGACCATAGAAAATTCAGGGAGTTTATCCCATGGCTACGTACTTACCTCATGTAGAATAGAATATATGCTCCTTCCGACATCACCTGGGTCATTGGCACTGGCAGGACCTGCGTATGATGCGTGGAACTTAAGGATACAATTACATGAGGAAGGAGAATGCAGAAACCAAAAAAAGGTTATGAGATTGTAAGTACAAAAGGAAGCTAAACTTTAAGGGTCCTAAAATCCAAATCCTGGGGAGCATTACAGGCCGTGAAACCATCAGCAGGTTCCCCAGCTATGCTTCAAGTACATGAGAGCCAGAACAATTTAAAGGGGTCATAGGATATAGCATAGACCATATTTGACAGCAAAAAAACTATCACACGGTGCCATTCTAGCAAATTGAAGATAGCATCAAAATAAATGATTCGGAGTTGCCTTTTTAAAAATTCCAAACCTATCAAACAGAGCCAGGGTGAGTTTGTCAAGAATGTAATAAGGATGGTGGGTTTTCTATTGTTTGCCCCCCAAATTTGACTTCGGCATCTATTTATCCGGAAATGTACAGGAATGGGATCTTTTTAGAAAAGGATGATTTGATTTCCAGTGAGCTAGGCTAAACAAATACTTGAGTTGTATGGTCCCTTAGCCTCTGCTTCTGGTAAAAATCCTTATGACAGGGAGTTAGAGTCCATAGAGTCCTTTTTCGATTGGCTTTATCCTATCGAATCAAGGAGCAGCAGCAAGGATCAGATGAGATAGAAGGAGTCAGAGAATCAGATATGTCCTGTTTAAGTCATTTTACCCATTGCTTTCTGCACAGGACGCAGTCCATTCCCTTGGAATTCCATTTGGTATATGAAGGTTCTATGGCTTAACTTTGCTTGGGAACCAAGTTGTGATCAATTTTGACAGGTGATACTTGGAGGAAAGGATGAAGATTTTTGTCCATTAGTGTCTTATGTGCAAAGAGGCAGAAAGAGAAAAGAGAAAAAAGAAAAAAACAAATTACTGTTTGCCTAAAGCACTGTAAAAGTATGCTTTCATCACATTTTGGATTTTTTTTGTGTGTGTGTGTGGGGGGGGGGGGGGGGGGGGGATGTAATGCTGAATTCCTGGAGGAAATTGACAGAAGGATGGTACTTTCCCAACAAGAGGAGGAGGGAGACAGAATTTGGAATGTGGTTCTTGTGTTGGTGCATTTGGCCAGCACAGAACTCAAGCTTTCGAGGGAGTGGAGCAGTCTTTTTTGAAGCTTAAGAATATAGTTTTGAACTATTTTTTGTCATGCATAGGTATATTCAGGACCTTATGATTCACTTGTAGAGCTTTTGGAGAGGATGTACTTATTTGCACCCCAGGACTTTTGCATTGTGTGCAACCAAATCCACCTATAAACACATCTTGCTTGCATAGAAAAGGTCAAAATTCTCACTACCATACTTCAAATAACTAATAGGTTAGGCACAATTTTTGGACATGAACTTTGCATCCACCAATTAAAGGGGGAGTAGTGAAGTTTTTGTTTCTTTCACCTTATGGAAGGGAGGAGGGGAATTGTTATTTAAGTCTTCGTGTGGTAATCAGTACTTTTTGAAGGTATCATTATTGATGACCATCAATTCAATTTTCCTTCTCTAACGATGAAGGAAAACCAATCAAACAAAAAACCTAGTATTTTTGTAAGAGGATGGGCTGTGACGATACATTAATCCTCTGTCCAAAAAGCAAATAGTTGTAAAGTTCTTTTTTTTCAAGGATGGGGAGGGGTGATGTGTGATGTCCACAAAAATGTTTCCATTCAGAAAATCATAGTAAGATCATTCCTAATTTTTTAAATTGTCCTTCTGCAGTGGCTCCGAGAAGTTCTGCAAATTTGAGCTTTTTTACTCGAGTGTAAATGCATGTTTCCTATACAGGTTGGAATTCCAAAGATGGACTGTAAATTTGGGATGAAGGGAGAGTCAACACATATTTTAGGTGCTTTCTATTATTTTGGAAAGATCAACTGTTCCAAACAATACAATAATAGAGTGATGAAGAGATGATTTACCTGAGTGTCATCTATCCTGAACCAGTTGCCTTGCATGTCCTTCACGTACGATATATAATGCCCAGAAAAAGATGCATTCAGTGTGTCCAAGTGCACAACAACAGCATAAAGCATGTAAAGGGGAGGAATATCATCTGTCCCGGTCATGAATGGGACCATATCCAGCATGTCAGGAAAAGTGATACACTTGTTTATTTTGCCATAGCTTCCCTCCTGATATAGCAAATGATGAAATTGAATCAGTTAAAGTAGATAAACAAAAAAACAAAATTATAAATACTTTTCCTTTTCCATTCGTACCATTAGTGTAAATAAATAAAATACTGAAAATAATTGGGTCTTAAAAGCTTGAAAGTCATAGATGCTATCTACCAGAGTTATTGCAATCTATCAGAGTGATAAACTTAAAGGAAGTTCCCTTTTGAACCTGATGGGTTGCTTATGTCATAATGGAAGAGACTCCTAATATGTAAACCAAATTGAGCCTTTAACCTTTTATGTTGAGATCTTCGATTTCTATATCTTCAAGGGGAAGCTTAACGTTCTAATGACTCCACATGGGCCAACAAACAGAAGACAAGAACATTATTCTCTTGCTAACACATGAAGTAATACCTGAAATCTCTTCAGGACAATGGTCAAGATATTAGGAGCCTCCTGTATGCTCAGCTGCTTCCGAGCTCGCACATATGCAGCACACCTTCCAATTAATAAATATTACAAGCCATTCAGTTATTTGAGTTCAAACAGTTAATCCTGTATGCTCTGTAGGGTATTGAAAAGGATTATAATGTAATATAAAGTCAACAAACCTTCCACATCTGTACATGTTTTCTCCATCCAAATCTTCCGTGCTCGTAAACTGAGTCAGAGCATCTTCCAGAGACTCCACCCAACCAAATATTTCAAGTGTGAGATCCATAATGTTTTCATATCTTTCTGACTGGTGATGACATCTCAAGCATTTGACCTGGGTGTCATCAGTTTGTAAAAATCCAAGTGATTAATTATAGAACAACAGCAGGGCAAAAAAGAACTTTACAACTACAACTGAATATTTGTGAAAGGAAGCGAACAAGTATGAACACCTTTGATTTAAGGCGGCCTCCAAAAGTATGTTGTATAAAGGTTGTTTCCTGCAATCTGGGATCAACCACATTCTCTCCGCCCAAACCCTCCAAGCATATAGATTGCATCGATGTAACTAGAAACCTGAGAAAGAGAAAGTCAAACTATGTTGATATAAAATTCAGAAAAGAGATGAATAAATCCTCAATTCTTCCACCAAAATTCAAAGTCCAAATTCATCTGGCACACACACATATACACACAGGCTATTCATGAATATTGACAGACCTTAAAAATTCATGTGCATCTTCCTGACTTCCAACACCAATCTGGCCATTTATTCTCCTCATATGCAAAAGAATTTTGCTTGGAGACAAAGGTCCCCCACTTTCTTTCAACGTCATGACATGTTGCTCAAGTTCACACACGAGGCACCAGTCTTTCACACAACCTAACATGTAGGTAATACAAAAGGAAGTTAGTTATACATGCACCCAAACAACCAAGTACAATTGTGTTTGTGTGGTATATATGTTTTAATTCAAATTTCAGACGGAGGGATCAGGAGAAGACTCAAGTACAAGCTCTAGAATGTGATCTATGGAGCAGATAGATGGTCAGAGGCTTTGTGCAGGTCAAACACTGCAACACAGCATTGGCATAACAACTGCAAAATGAAAAATAATGATCATCAACAGTTCAATACAAATGGCTCGGTGATGCAAAGGTACAATTCACTTAATATATAAGTGCCTATTGATTCCCTTGTACAGCAGTCATTGTAATGGTTTAAATACAAATCCAATTAATAGAAGTCGCCTAGCGGATTAACTTGATATTGATGATCCCAAATCAAATTCTTGGGACACAGGACTCTCAACCAATTAATACTATAGGGATATCAACAGATTCGCAAGGACAGGCCACCCTTTTCTTTTTAGAGTTTCATTTTTCTTTTCTTGTTATGTACGGGAGAGCAATAGACATTTCAGTGCTATTCCATGTGTACCACGTTACAAAATTTGATACCAGAAAGTAAACAGCAAGTAGTTAAGATAGTACCTGTTCCCACAATTTATAAGGCCTCTAGGCACTAGGTCATAAACTTCATACTGAAAGAACTTCACAAATTCTTCATAAGGAAATAGCATCTGAGAATTAGAATAGAAGGTCAGTAATTAGAGATTCCATTTACATTTCGAGGCAAAATAACATCTGGAGCAGACAGAGTTCAACTCAACTTAATTTGACAAACCCTCCAAACTATATGGGTCGGCTATATGAAATAAATTTTGTTGTTCCACTCCATCTATGTTGCTTTGCAACTCAGAAACAGATACTTGTAATTCAGAAACTAACCTTCATTTTCTTATGCCTGTCAACGATTACAACCGAAGATTCCTGTCTATCAAGTTTTGATGACTTGACCAGACCAATCATCTTCATGATTCCCATGCTTGTAACCCCATTGCTTCCCTTTGCAGGGATTGTCTCCTTTACTCTAGCAGCTTCTGCATCAAATTGAAACGATAAGGGGAATGAACAAACTTATGCTCATAGCAAAAAAAAAAAAAAAAACACCCTCGGAACCTACTGGGCTCATTTGAGATTTCATCCTTCCACTCCATATCTGAACATGGTTGTTCTCTTGATGATTTTGGTGATTTATACATTTTATTTCCCGGAGAACCCAATGCAGTTTTAGCTTTAGTACTTCGCTTCATTGAGGTCCTTCCAGAAGAGCAGTTCAACTCCGCGGTTTCATCATTAGAAGTTATACCTCCACAAACTAAGTTTCCTCCATCTATTAAGTTTGTACCAATTTGACTTGAACTCATGCCATGTTTTGCTGAACTCAAGGAGTTTGAGGTGCCAAAATTGGTTCTTGAATCAAATATGCTCTCATTTTGGCTATGAAACTCATGACTTCCATGCATTGCATTCGAATTAGTCTGTCCATTACTAAACCCATCACGGATGATAACATTGTCGTTTGCCGCAATTTCTTCTGAGGGCATGGAGTCACTTTCTCTTAACTGCAGCGAAGAGATAAACATAAACTATCAGGTTTAAAACATAAACAATGGAATTCTCGGATAGGTCACAATACACAAGGATAAAAACCTTATGTCTAAAACTGGGTTCTTTTGGTGGAGTGCTATCTGATGAGGTGGAACATCTAGCCCTACTCCTATAAGTTTGTTCGAAGGACTCTAATGTAGTTCCCTCCTCTCTTAGCATTTCTCTGTTGAATTTACAGGAAGCTAGCTTTTCCATAGATTTTCTATCCATCATGGGAACTTCAGATGTATGCATTGTCGTACAAGCAGCAGTAGCAGAAGCAAGCGTGCTTGCAGAAGGAAGAACAATATCATCTGAAAGAGTCTTCTCATGCCTAGGCTGCTTGAAATTGTATCCAAAGGATTGTGAATCCATCTTGTCATCAAGGAAAACCCTTTCAGCGATAGACTCTTCATTTGAGGCAGAGTCCGGAGATGAGCTGCTGCAGTTGTTTTCCAACTGCTGGCACTCTTGCTTGTGAACTTGCCTCCAGTGAATAATTTGACACTTCCCAGAACTGCATACATGTTATTGAAAGACAGAACAAAAATATTAAGAAAATTCCGGTCTCGGTGTAACACCAGTACACAATTAGTGTGCCCACGTTGGACAATGTCTCAGATGCATTCCATTATTTTGCCTCTTGTAGATGCTAAATGAATAAGGGAACAAGAGGCTTTCCAGCGAACAAGTACAGAAGATCGAAGAACAAGGAGCAGACATAATTTCAAAGAAACTTCTAAACGAAGGGTTTTGGACTCCCACAACTTCCATCAATTAACATTGCTTCTAGAATGATAAGACTTCAATATGTAACCAGTTTAAAAACTTAAAAGCATGTGAAACATGCTTTGACACATTTAAACAAAACTCCACTACCCATAATGGTTGATCAAGTGCTATCATGGAAGGCCCAAACATAAAAAATAAGACACAGTAAACTTGACTATGGATGCAAAAATAAAAGTTCATCTTATATCGGCCAGAGCCAACTGGGAGACGATTGCTAGGACAATGCAATGCTTGTTTAGCTGGCAATTCTTTAAGTTTTAGCCTAAATACATAAAACATTTTACAAATTCAACTCAGTAAAGCTATATCCCCTTCAGTTGCAGCCAGCCAACTGAATCTCTTTTCAGCATTTTGAACTTCTCTTGGGATCACTGCCCTAGCAAGTTGAGTAAAGAAGGTACATTGGCAGTACAATGACTGAAACCTGATCTTTTAATTTCCATGATATATATTTCTGGCTAGTAATCAAGACAAAATAAATATAAGACATGTAACAGGAAAGATTCAAAGTTCAAACACCATCCGGAGGATTCCTAGAAAGATGCCGATAGCAAACATACAAGTCACTAAATTTTCAATAACCTGACAACTGAAAAATAACTTTCAATACCAAAAACTTGAACCAGCCTCAACAGCTGAAAGGCGGGCGAGTATTAATTGCAATAGGCTGAATTGAAGATCAATCATGTTCAGAGATACTAAATTATTAGTCGATGGAACCATTACTATATTCGTAGATGTTAAAGGTGATAAAATAAGAGTGGCAATCAAACACTGAAATAAATGAATGTTCTGAAATATTCTTGTCAAGTACATGCTTTACACTGTTGGTTGAATAAGGCTTGAATTTCAAAGAAAGGTTCTTACTGCTGACTCAAGATGGTTGAGCATGCAAAAACACGGAAGAATTATGGTTCAAGGCAAAATGGCACTGCCGTAATATCCATGTGATGAAGTTTTTTCTTTTAAGCAAAGGCCGTCTAATCAATGAAACTACTCTTTATAAAGTATGTGCTTCCTCAAAATAAGGAACTGGACATACCAATAGCGAACAGACTTGCACTGAGAGCACCGGGTTGTAGCCGGACCATAGCATCTGGCACACTGATGGATCCCATTATTTGACAAAGGTACAAGAGGGATAACACTTGCAGCAGCCATGTCTTCTGCTCTAAGAGATTCTTCAGCAGCCAATTGAGCAAGTAAACTTATCCACTCTTTCTTCTTTGCAGCCTCGCTCCATTTCCCTAGAAAGATGTAAGTAACCAGGGGAAGCACAACCAAGACCAGAAACAGGGCAGGTATATCAGTTTCTCTTGGCTCAAGCATGTCCCCACCAGCATACTCATGTCCAATTTACTCTCAGAACTGCTTCGGTCCAAAGGCTGATCTCCTTTAGCTACATGAGCCCAAGAAAATTAACATTCGGGGTTAGAATTATATATGGCACCATGCATTATGTGCTGTTATTTAAACTACTCAAATTTTCTGCTACAGTTCCCATAAAAGTAGCAATCAGTGAATTATCACCCCATAATTTCTCAACAACATAAATAATGCTCAGGCAGTAAAATCCCCAATGTTTCTTGCTACATTTTTACAAGACAATGTAACTGCCAATATTCATTGTATAATTTCTGTTTGTAGGAGGAAGAATGAGAAATTCTGCATCCAAGGCCACAATTTTAGTAGCGGTATTTACCTTTCAAACTGAGTTTGTATTCAAATACCTTCTATAATGAAAATTTAATATCATTAGAAAAGTTTCAGTTTATTTACATCAACTTTTTACACAGAGAATTTTGGGGAAAAAAGTTGCTTAAGTGATAACATCATCATGAAGGAACAAAATGTGTCTATTTCTTTCAATGTGTCTTTTTCTAACCATTTGTCTGCACAGAGCAAAGTTAATTAAATTTTGGCTTATTGGTAAAGAGATTTGGTTGCCTTAAAAAAATTCCTGTCCCTTGAACTACTAGTACTTGGCCCTTCACCCAACCCAAGGCACCATCAATTGAACCTGTTGGTATCTTGCTTCTGTTTTTTAGCAACCAATCTCATCATCAATAATTTGTGGCTATAGGTTCAGTGCCATTGTTTTGTTGTATACCTTTTTCATTGGTTACTACATTCCCATGACTTTCAGCCAGTAAATGCTTTGGCAGTGCAATTGGTCTTAGTGTCCATTTTTCTGTTTAACAAAGACTTTGAGTTGCCACTGGTCACTATTAAAATTGATTTTTTCTTTTAAATTCTTTTGCTTGCCTTTGCTGTAGCTCCATAAATGTTTAATTTGTTGCAGAGAAGTGCTACCTTTAGCTTTTCCGTAAAACTCAGCCATTATGTCTGTAACTTTGGATTGCACCATGTATCCCATGAACCTCATCATTTATACTAATATTGTTCAAATATAAAGAAGGATAACTTAACAATTATAGTTTCCACTGTACAAAGTATGTCATCATGACACTCTATTTCATATGCGGTGCAACCTTTAAAAGCGGGTAGATATCACTTTTGGAACATGTATATATTCCTGATATAAATTTAGTTGGGAAGCTCTTGCTCGGATAAGCAAAGCATGCATAGTCACCTCCTACATCAGTAGAGTGAAACTCACCAAATCCACATTGGAACTGAGTTAGTGTACAACCATGTTCACGAGTCAATAAATTCATTCTACAAAGTTCATTTTCTGGTACATATAAAGTTCGTACTTGGGTCTGTGGGTCATACTATTGTTTAGAGGTATACTTCAAAAGTGTCATATGAATCTCTTATAGCTGGGCATCTTTTTCGGATGCTGTACACAATTAGGTGGTAGATTTTTCTACTCCCTAAATCTTAGTAAAAGGGGCGCATTTTTTTATGGATAGCATAATTCTTCAGCTATAAAAAAGACTTCACAAAGTTTTGATGCAAAAGAGTGCTTCTTAGACTTGGGCAATTGGACTATCACTGAATAACAATGTTCTTAAAGAACAAGTCTTAGAGATATACTATGAAGCTTCAAGAGATCTAGGATTGATGTACCCAGTGTTGTGAAAAGCTCGCCTAGGCGAGAAGCGAAGCGAGGCAAGGCGAGCATATCTCGCCTGGATGACCCCAGGCGAAGCGAACGTGAGCGAAGCGAGAAAAAAGCAAGAAAAAGCGAAAAAGCGTTCGCTTTATTATAAAAAGCGAGAAATGTTTGATTTTTAATTTGAACCGTTGGATTGGGCGATTGAAAAAAAAAATTATAAGATGAGATACACCGAATTATCCCCTTATCTAATAAATAAAACCACAAACCCTAATTTATCCCCTAATTTATGCCCTTAGCTGCTCGTTGCTCAGGAGGAGGACTACACAGAAGCTCGAAACTCGATGCTCGCTGCTACACAGAAGCTCGTTGCTTGCTGGACTCGATCGACAGAGGCTCTCTGTCGCTGCTTGCTGGACTCGATCGATCGACAGAGCCTCTGTCACTACTTGCTGGACTCGATCGATCGACAGAAGCTCGTTGCTCACTGCTCCTATAGGATCGACAGGTTTTTCTTCTTCTCTCTTATTCTTCTCTTTTTTTCTTCTGTCTGTTAGTCTCCTTCCTCATCGATTCTGTTATTTTTTTTTTTTTTTTTCTGATCACATGTTCTGTCTTTTGCTCCTTCCTTACCAATGCTTTTTTTTTTTTTAATTTTTCTGATCACATTTTTTTTTTTCTGATAAGCAATGCTCCGAACAATATTTCTTTTTTTCCTTGTATTGTTGTCTAATCCATATGAAGATCCCACACAAAAGTCATGTGAATGTGAACAATATTACTTTTTTTTTTTTAAGCACAACTTGTTGCTCGCTGGATTGATTTCTAAGTCCTTGAGATAGTTTCTTTAGTTGTTTGAATTGTGTGTCTTATGTTTTTAAATATTAGGATTTGAGATATTATTAGTATTTATTTGAATTTAATTGTTTAAGCTATAACTGTTATTAAGATTTGAGATATTATTAGTATTTGTTTTAATTTAAATGTTTATGGTTTTACTTGCATTTAAATATTTAGCATAAAATTAGAACTTAGATGTGTATAAGTAATTAAACTAAAATATTTATTTATTTTTTTAACTGTTCGCTTCGCTTCGGTAAATCGTTTCGCTTTAGTTCTCGCTTAGGCGTTAGGAGCCTTGGCCGCTTTGGTTTACTTTACGCCTTAAATAACACTGGATGTACCCAACTGGAGTTGTGTTGTATGATGGTGTTCCTCACATTATAGAGTATCCACATAAAATACTCTACTAAAGCAAAAAAAAAAAAAAGGTAGGTCAAGAATGGCTTAAGGCCATGGGCAAAAGCTCTCTGACACATCAGGCATCTGAAGATGACAAATCCATGTGGCAAACACAAGTAATTGGGTCTAACTGATGCACTTTATAATATGCTCATGAAAAATCAAATTCAAAGAGGTGAGGAACTTTGGAATTAAGCTCGACTTCAAGACCTTGCCCTCTTGGAACCTTTGAGTAGCCCAGCAGTGGTATTAGTAGAGGCTTAGTCCTGTTTAACTTTACAGCTTATTAAGTGCAGCCCTGGGGCTTATTTTGGTAGTAAATAGATAAGTGAGTTTTATCTTATGAATCTAGTAAGTTTATGCAGATTCTCATAGAGTAGAGTCTTTAATTCACTAGTGTGGAATCCAGAGTCTCTGAGGTTGAAGAGAATTAGAAATATACACATAACCATGCAAAGGGTTCAAGAGAAATTTTTTCAGGGAGAAAAAAAAATCAGCTTTTGAAGCCCCTTTTAATATTGTGTGATGCAACCCAACAGACGAGTATGATGCCTATAAGGCTCTATGTGGCTGTGTGTGATGCCTAAGTTCTTCATCTTTCTATATCTTCTCTACATAATCTGTGTGTAGTTCTGCAATCCAACAAGCTATCAAGTCCATAATAAAACCCAATCTTCCTCCATTACCAATCATTCAACTCTAGCACTAAATGACATAACCAGCACAAAAAGTTCTGTTCACAGGTAGAATTCACAGATACATAACTACTTGAGCATTTGCCATTTCATGCCCATTAACCTTTCAAATTTCACAACCTTCCCCAAACCAATTATAATCTTCAAACACTAATATTTTTACCAATTTCTTAGCCCCAAAAAATGCCCTAAAGAGCTCTCAAAATTCCTTCGTTCTGTTGCCCAAACCCTAAACGCATTCAAGTTCTCCATGTAGGAGAGTGTAACCATCACACCTCTTCCCCATCATTAAGGCCAGTGAATTGAGTTGCGCCAAGAAGAATGCAGAATCCAACATGTGAAGCAGGCATGAGAAGGGTATTGAACAATACAACCCAACTGATAAGATGGGCAGGAGAAAAGAGAGCTTTAATAGTCTTTCAGTGTCCTTCTCGTAATTATGACATATAATTCCAACTAAATACCCTCAGAAAAGCTTATGGATAGACAAACTTAAATCTAAACACAGCATTTCAGTGAAACAAACGTGAATCCAAAATTCAAGGTTACACGAATCCACATTAAAAAAGAAAAAGACAAAACTAAAAAAAATACACCCATTTAAACATACCCATCTGGGAAACTGAAAATAAAAAAAGATAACCAATCTACAAAAAGCCTTTTATTTAACAAATTTGCAATTTATTCTCCCAAAATGCTCATCCAAAGACCTACAAATCAAGCACTGTCCTGGTAAACTTTGAGAAAACAAACAATAGCATGACATTTTGTCCAATTTTTCAACACAAACCATAGCATAAAATCCAATCTTTCTGCAGTTTTCATATAAAGGAAGAAAACCCAGGTGAAATCTAGCACAAAAGTCTGAGATTCGAACATGACATTTACCAAAAAAAAATAAAAAAAAAAAAAAAAATTATTAAGTGGCTTCAAGCTTACCTTTTTGCAGAAGAACAAAATCTAAGCAAAACCCAAGAACACTTTAACCTCCACCTCCTCCTTCTTCAACCCACCAACAGATTCTTTGATGCCGCAGATTGGTAAGAGAGCACAGTTCTTTTCTCTGCTACATTGGCCTCACTTCACAATTCGCACCCCTCAACTTTAAGACTAGGCAATTCTTCTGTCCTAAAACTCACACCTAAAATCTTGGTACTTAACAAAAAGAGTACCCACGTGGCGGATTATAATTCGTTGCAACCAACATTTTGTGGGTCCAGTTGGGAATTGATTAATTCTAGCCGTCAACGTGTTATATGGAATACGGAACAGTGTGTGATTGAGAGAATATTGTACTGGCAGAAGTCAAAAATTTTGATTAATCAACGTCATGTAATGTTTGGTTTGTAGGGTAAGCTTTTCTTAAAGTGGGTCCCAGTAGAGCTTCCAATAATTTGACTGTATGCCACGTGTAGGGCTCTGATCTGCCAGTGGCATGAA